AATCTCAATGACTGCATATTTTCCAGACCGTAGCATTTTGACTACGGGTGGCTGTGCATCACCAGCCAGTGAAATGTCACTTACTGAGAATTTCTGTCTAAGCTAGCTGAAAACTTTTAGATGCATTTGTTATACTAAAGCAATTTTCACTACTAGCATCTCCGTTCCAGAGGTAAAAGTGGGCCAATCTGATTAATGTCATTGTCTCAACGTGAGGAGCATAGACACCACATTAAAGGGTTTACCAAAGAGGGAGAGAATGAGGGGAAATAAGAAGTACAGAAAATGAAAGGAAGGGTGGAGAAAAACATACAAAAAAAACATTTTACAGGGGAAAAAAAGTGAGGGTAAACTAAAAAGAAATTAGCAATCGAAAGTAGGGGAAACGACCAGCCAAAGGGTGTGGATACAGACAATCCCAAAGAGCTACACTGATCATCAGAGAGCAAAACAAGAAATGAAACGCAATTGCCTGATTCTGACAGTGGATCTAGTTTAGCATACAAACAGGAAGTGGATAATTAGTCTCGAGAGGAAAATCAGCACACAGTAAGTGGGAAAGAAGGCCAATATTAGAGCAGCTGTCCTCAAATGGCAGGGCAGACACATTACAGACCTTTCTGGTGGCTGATGGAGATTTCCCCCCTGCCCTCAACGTACTACTGCATCACTTGTATCTACTGTATGGTATGTATATATACATTTTGAAAAGCATCAATCATCTTGAAAAATATACATGTACAAAGAGAAAGCATCAGCATTCTATGAAAACCTGAGGATTAAAAATAGCTACTATTATAGCCTACCGAACTATAGGCTGATAACCTGTTCTATCGCAGTCCGAAGAAAGCATCACGATATGTGAACAGATAACTGCAGCTTGGTAAAACCTGCTCAGGTTGTGTGGCGTGAGGGAGACTGAAGCTATTAAATACCAGGCATTAGTGAGATATACCACTGCATCTCCCCAGTGGTGAATAATGTTCTTGTCAATTATAGTATATTCTGTCAGCAGTGCTGCAGAGCCTTTCAGTAAGTCATACACCTTATCTTGGTATGCTGATGCTGTCATCCAGACAGCCAGAAACACAGGAACACACAAACATGTTTACACACGACATGCAGAGAATAAATGATACAGCAGGCAGGCACAATGAACAGCACATGCAAAGTGTGTGACCCCCTCCTGTGTGCTCTCCACCACACTCACAGTTGGTTAGCTGTCGGTGCAGGTTGTTGGTTGGGTTGGGTACCAAACTCTGTGCTTTTTAAGGATGCAATACTAATGAAATTGGTACTACCAAGTTAGATTCACCTTAGATCTAGAGATTAGAGGAACAGAGAGAGCAGAATTCATGATGGAGACTACTGGATTGTTTTCACTCTCTATACGGAAGGAATAGTCAACATTCTTTAAAATACTAAATGGTGTATGATATTTTTTTATTGTGTGTGAAACCTTGATATGGAACCATAGTACGCAAAATTGCCAACCATTTACAACTAATATTATATGTTCGTGATTACAGAGAGTACAAAACCCAAGAAAGATGCCGTTCATTACAGGTACCAAAACCCAGGTATGTTGAAGTGTAACCTATCTCAGTCACATCATGCTGTAACACATTTAGCCTTCCATACACATCATTAACAGTCAAACTAAATGTTGCTGTAAAGATGCGACTGTCCACCATGATTATATCCTATTATCACCTTGTCCATTGCAATGACTCTGAGACCTGACTCAGATCAGCGAAAATAAAAAATGAGTCCAGAGACAAAAAAAGGCCTGGAAAGTTGTTGCTTTGCAAACTGTCAAATGTAGATGCTGAAAGGAAATTAGGCTGACTCCTCACTTGACAGCAATCAATGAATCTAAAGAATGGCAACTAAGCCATCATTATTGATGAACAAGCATAGCCTCCACATACTGTATAGTCAGATCTTCACATTCACAGACACGAGGGAAAGCAACAAATAACCACAAGAATCCAGAAAACAATTACTTTGTCACTTTGACTCAAAGCTCCAGAGACAATTATTTAACTGACATGTTTATGGAAATCCAACGGCATGATCTTGATACATTGTCAATCATTTCTAAGGTTCCCATTAACATCCTGCGACTAGTTTTTCTGCCAACACAAGCTTATCATTTTTTTATTTTGCCTTATATTTCTTTAAGCTTTAATTAGCCCCATCCCCAAAACACTGATGCATTTATTTATATTTATTTTCAACGTAAACATATGTCAGCATCATGCACATATGTCATTATCAACAACGGATTATAATAAAACACCTGTCAAAAAAGCCCATCCCATCGCATTGCCCATCAGGATGTGTTAAGGCAGCTGCAATATAATAGGCAGCTGAAGAAAACACATATTACCAGAAAACCAATTATCACTTAGAAAGCTACATTTCAGCAAATAATCGGATGTTATAAAAAAGAATTCAACTAACAAAGATCCAGAGGTAAAAAAAATAAATAATAACTTTGCTGCAATAGATGCTGGATAGTATTACTGAACATGAACAAAATAACTCCTCTGGGTCATTTTTAGGGCAAGTAGAAGCGAGCACGGAGAACTCCGCTCTGCAAGCAGAGAAGCAGTTTCTCACTCTGGAGATGAAGACAACACATAATAATGGGCCTAATGCTTTAGAGGAAGTCACTTGTCAAATAGGAAGCAGTCAGCCCTAGAAATATTGCTGTTACAGTAACTTGCACATAAACCGTTCAATCTCCTTGTTACGCAATACAATACAGCAAAATATACTCAGCGGGCAAAGAAAAACATCTGTGGATGCTTAGGCCGTACACAAGATGGAGTAAAAAGGAACAAACAACACGTCATCTTTATGAGTGAAGCCAATGCAGCTACATGACAACACCGTTCACAACAACTCTAACCGCCTCTAACAATTGATGTGCTGCATGGAGAAGCCACCAGGAGTAAACTAAAGGGTATAAAAGCAACATTGCTGGTTGCCAGATAATTCAAACATAAATAATTTCAGGATTGATGCTTTGAAAACTGGATTAAAATGTAGTTACTTTCAACCTCACTAATAGTGGACATTTACTTTGTATGTTACACAACTTTTGGCAGTAAGCTGCAGCAGAGGTAATATGTATCATTACATGTGTCCCTCAAATCAATAGAGAGTGGTACAAATAATTAAACAAACAGTAAGAAACTATCCTAGTACCGTAATTTTCGGACTATAAGCCGCGCCTTTTTCCCCATTTTTCGACGCTGCGGCTTATATAACGGTGCGGCTAATCTATGGATTTTTACAGCTAACGGCCACTAGGGGACCTCCTAAATCTATGGATTTTACAGGTTACAGTCCACCACCTTTAACTCTATGGGCTCTATGGCCGGTCCGCGCCCCCCACCTTTAAGCGGCGGGTTCCAGCAGGAAAAGCTGGAGGGCGGAAAAGAGTGAGACGGGTAGCGCGCAAAAGTAAAAGTGGAACCGAGAGTGGTACGAGAGACAGAACGAGAGCAAGACAGACAGACATTACGAGAGCGAGACAGTTTGTCCCCGTACCACTGGTTGAAAACCACTGCTGTAGATCACTGCCGGTACGTGCGCTGGGTCCGCACCGTTTAAGTTTGAAAGTTGAAAAGTTTGTGTGTCTGAAACGCTATGTGATACAGTACAGTTTACACAGCACAGTACATGTTCTGTAGCTACTATTGCACTAAATGGTAACACTTGAATACGTTATGCAAATATGCAACTGGTTTGTTGAAATGTTAATAAATGGGAGCTTCCTCAAACAGCCATCTCTTTCCCGACAATCCCCTCTGTGCACGAACCCTTACATATGGTAATTAAACATTAAAACACCTGCGGCTTATAGTCCAGTGNGATGTGTACATATATAAGCCGCACTGGACTATAAGCCGCAGGTGTTTTAATGTTTAATTACCATATGTAAGGGTTCGTGCACAGAGGGGATTGTCGGGAAAGAGATGGCTNCAGCACCAATGAGATGTTACTTTATTATAGCAGTAGTAGTATCAAGATAATTAGTATAAATAAAAAATGTAGAGTACAAACAAAGAGCTTGATTGGTTGGTTATCTTGATACTACTACTGCTATAATAAAGTAACATCTCATTGGTGCTGGTATCATAACTCTGGCTGTTGCTTCTGTCACTCACATGATATAGCAGATTAGTCATTCATCGTGGAGTTATTGATGCCCGTTACTTCTCTATGCTTAAGTCTTATCAGTCAGACTAATGGGGGGGGTTGAGGGTCATAAATGTGACTGATATTCCTTATGGGGCATCAACCGTCTGAGCAACCACTGCATTGTAAAACCGCCTGAGGTCTGAGCCAAACAAACATTACTTAATCATTTCTGACAGGGGACTGAGGAGTGTTGACAGCTGAGTAATTATTCACCTGACAAATATATCCTTCAACCTATAGAGGAGTTCCCACCCGGCATGAGAGATTTCAGATGCTTTACCTCATTGTCTGTTGATTTGAAGAAGAATAGCAAAACATGGTGGAGTTGAGTTTTACACTATAAATCAAAGATTCTCCTTTTTATTTAAACTAGGCTATCTTGCAACCAAATAGACAAATGAATGCATGCAAGTCCCTCAGCTGATTTGTTGGATCTGTTGGCATCAAATGACAACTGAGATTCTTTCATAGTTTTAAATCTGAGATGTTTTCAAAAGCTTCCACTGAGGGGAATACAGTAATAAATGTGACGCAAGTGGGATCTTTTCAAATTGTCATTGTTATATCATCATCATCAGAGGTCTTCTCCATAACACGCTCTGTGGTCTGTTTTATGAGACCCGTTTAGATTTGAATGATTTTCCAGCAGCATTTCCCAGAAATCAGAAAAGTGTATGCCGGAATAACAGCAGAGACAAAGCAAAGAAACAAATACTTTGTCATGGAGCACAACATGGTATATTTTGAAAAATGCTGTTTGGTTTGAACACAGTAAGTGTACTCACATTGATCGATGTTCCCGTCTGCTTTCCCCTTCTCCTGCAAACAGAGAGCACACACAAAAGTGGTTATTACAGGTTCGAGGAGTGAGACAAAAACAGCCATTTCTGCAGCATTTTCGCGCAAAATCCGTTACCGTGCCTTTGCTCCTTTCTCGGTTCAGAGAAAGACGACGACGGGAAACAAAAGGTGAATAGACAGATTGAGTGTGAAAAATTAAAGAACAGAGAGACAGAGAGGGTGTGACAGAGAATATATATGACGGAGTCAATTCAACCCTAATTGGAAATACACTTTAACAACAGGCTGCTCGATGGCAGTTGTCACTATATTGTGCTGGAATCTTAATCATGATGTCAAACAATTGACACCACAAAGATGATTTCATTCGTCAGTCCTCGCTGTGGTTGTGATATTGACATGCAGCTTTACATTTATCTTAATACATGTCTTTCCAAATACGCTGTGTGGATGTGATTGGATGACATCCAAGTGAGGTACTGTATATCACAATTATCAAAGTTAAACAAAAACATATTTGCTATATCAAAGATGGTCAGACTTAATTCACTGAATTTAATAGGGAGACACCACACTGTACTGTATATTGGTGACGATAATATGACTGGCTGTTAATTAAATCTGAAGAAATAAATGGATTCATTTGTGGGATTTCAGCCACTTGTAATTATGCAAAAGCATGGCTGCGGACTAGGGACGCCAATAAAAAACAGCTTTTATCTCGACTGATGCATTTGTGCGGACAGTACGGTCACTTTGGGGCCACAGCAGAGATTAAAACTGACTAACTGACAGAAGCCACAGACCACAATGCTCATAACCGTAATTGCAACAAAATATGTCAGGGAGAAAGACAGTATGATTAAGTTACAACTCTTGGGACGAGGGTGGACAATATAAAAGGTACGGTATGTTTACCAATTTTCCACATTTTGTCTGGATTTGGTTTTTGTTGTTGCGGTGGCAACATAATGTAATAGGTGTGTTCCTGAACACCATGTCCTACCCACTAACACAGCATTGTGTGCTTGTTAGTTACTGATTATTTGTGCTTATTACAGCACAGCGCTCTGCATACATGCATCTGAGCTTGAGACGCAATTGAACACAAACTGGCAAAACGAAGGATTGAAATGCTGTTTAAAAATAGCACAAAAGCAGGTCTTCTAATGCGACACAGCTCCTGGAGCAGCCAATATGTGGCAGCAATTGAAGTGTTTTGACATTTTGCATTCTTGTCCCTCAGTGTGGATGTCACTGGTAATGAGGCTCAGTGATAAAACATGTGTGAGTCTGCAAGGCCCTTTCAGCTTCCCAGGAGACTAAGAGCTTCAGGAAAAACACAGCAGTTTTAGTGCCTCCTGTCACTGCCTCCTCCTTTGTCTCCACATCTCTCTCCCTCTGTCTTTCTGCCATCTGTCCGTCTTAATTGCAGACGTGCTTCCTCATGATGGCAGGATACAATTGAGTGTGCTCATCAGCAACGCCTTCCATCATCTGGAGAGCTGCTGTTTGATCAATTGATTAGAGAATCAAACCAAGCATAGAGGTGAAAGACAGGCTATGTGCTTCTTTCTAAAAAGAATCATTTTTACCATGAATATTCAGGGCCCTTTTCCTTTATACATTCAGATTGAGATGATTTGAAATATTAATGATGAAAGGCAACTACAATCATCATCAGTTGATAAGATAAAGTAGATACATTCAACATAGGATTGGGAAGCAGATAATATGTTTCTCCTTCAATGCATTTACACAACATACATATAAATAACTTTAACACCATCATTAAACCCACTGTGTTTCAATTAGGTGAGATCTGCGTTTCTCTATCATAATCCCTCTTTGTGATAGAGGCTGATTAGATGGCTGTATTATTACATACAATATAAATGCCCAGTGCAGTTAGGATTATGGGATAAGATTATGATAACATTAGGGATGCTGAAAGATGCACAATAGCCAGACAGGAGATTTAATGTATACCGTCTAACCTCTTGAGCCTGGGGCTGTTTTTGTTCGAATTACGCTTCCTCCTCCTTCCTATGCCTCTTATGGCATAGTTCCGACATGTTCCCAGCATGTCATACATTGTTATTTTCAGTGCATCTGAGGCTACTCTGACATGAGACATTTTAACGTGGAAAAAAGGGTTGAAGGGGGTTTAGTTACCTTGAAGCAGCAAGTATGTGCACATTAGGAAAACATGTAATGGATGCATAACACGTAAAGGGAAACGGAAGACCAAGTATGATCACCAGATGCCATGGCCTCTAACAAAAAAAGTGTTTCATGATTTTTTAATATCATGATGTCGTTTTTAAAATTTGTTTGTAGAGAAAACGGATGTCATTATACATTGCATGTTACAGTAATTAAGTGTTGTTAAACGATTTTTTAACATAAATGTCAGCCATCAGAAACTGATACTTGTATTGGCTGTGGAATAACTTGGAAAGAGTTGACAGACCTACAGTATAGCTATCTGGTTTCACATACTTAAAAAACACCTTAAATGTCACGTTGGTTCAATGTTATTGATGTCAAGGCCTGTTTCAAGTTTGACTACTTTATTCGTTTCTGGGGGAGCAATCAATAGAGATAGAAAAGAATACACATTCAAAAAGATGTTTATAGCCTCTAGAAAAATGTGAACAAACAAATCTCTTAGTGCTACATGCCTCCATCTTGGAAACCATAAACCCACACATAAAACAAGAATCTGACATTGCTGCCACAGAGACAGACATTTTGTACGAATGCAATTTGGACAGCAGGGCAGTTCAAGTTGTGTCTAGTACAAAGTGTGCTTCAATATTTGTGTTCCCCCCGCTGCAATAGAGGCCCTCTTCATTCAAGGACCCATATGTCTATTTGTCTACACTTAGTTTCTCTGGTTTTTAATCCCAGTCAACATCAAAACTCTCTGCTAAAATCAGCTGCCTGTATTTTCTCAGTTTTACTACTTATAAGCAGTAGCTTTTCATAAGTTATTGTTATGTGACGCTTATTGATTATTTGAACTTTATAAGATACTACCCGATTAGGATGAAAAGGCAGCTAGAGAAGCAGGAAAGTAAAGCTGAGTCCATCAGTGTCTGTGTTTTCACAACAGCCTTTCTACATTCAATAATATGTGTTCCCCGATGTCTGTTACTTAGAAATGTCGGCTTTCTTATCTAGAGTAATCCATCAGTGCACCAACAAACTACTTAATGAGCTGAACGAATAGGAGCCAAAAGAAGAAAGAAAAATGTTGGCAATGTACTGTATGTGAGTGGCAATACCTTCAAAGGCTTAACTTTGATTTATCTGAAAATATAATTAAAACCCAAGACATTCCAGCTATTTCCCTGCATCAAATAATAAGGTAAGGGAACATTATTTCCAGCAATGTTCACTGGCACGATCTCTCCTCTAAACATCTTCATTTATTTTAAATTGTCCCCAGCTTCGCTACCTTACTCTTTTTATATGCTACTAAGATACAGCACTTCTTCGATCAATGTTCAACCAGGCCACATTTCTGCTTGAAGAAAAAAAAAAAAAAATGGAATATATGTTCTTTTCATTGCTGTTTACATTTCTATCAAAAATGATGGAAGTTCAATGCCTATACAAATGTCTCTTTAGTGTTTGGTACATTTACAGTGGCACGTTTAAAAAAAAACAAGAAGTACTTTACACCGTTTTTCATTGTTTTTGTTTCTTATTTGAGGATTCAACACTTATATTTCACTTAATTTAAGAATATTCAAACATCACATGTTGTACTCCCTTAGCTAGTATGCACACGTTATTTGAATGGCTTCTAGCTGTGTTAAACCCATAGTATACACTTTAACTCAGTAAAATAAAACATGTTCTGAAACGGGCCAGAGGGTTGTGCTGAGAAAAGAAGGTGTCCCTACCACACAATAATTAAAGAAGAGAAAGGAGTATTATTCTTCATATTTTCTTCAGCTTTGAGTACAAGCTCTCAAGAGACTTGAAAACACCCTATGGGACCACAACAAAAACTAAAGCTATGTACAAGTCATAATCAAAATGTAAATGTAGTAGGGGGTAGCCCCACTACTGGAAATAAAAACATAACAGAAAAACATGCGTTCATGGAGAGAATACTTTCTTCATTATTTTCCTTTTTCAATGTTCCTGCATTTATTCTTGATTCATTCAATCCATAAACCTATTACTCCTAAACCCTTCATCCACTGAACACATTTCCGCCTTTTTCTGCGTAACAGCAAAACCAATTTACTGCTCCACTATTTTCCTGCTTCATATGGACCACTCCCGAGCCAAATTACAATCTTACCGTCAAATAAGCAGTCTATAAAAAGCCCTATGTGTTCATCAGTGTTGCGTTCAGAATGCTGCAAGATTTATCATTACCACTATAAGAATCCTGAACCAACAGCTACTGCCCCGTCACAGTGACACGTTAAGAAAGTGGTCAGATGAAGCATTTGGTATTTTTTCTGCACTGTTTAGTTGAAAAAAGAGATGAATTATTGCAAATAGTCAACATTAAACTGTGTCTTTCAATCTAAGTCCTAATTGTATCAAAGCTGACACCAATACAGTATGAATAGCACATTACAGAGATCTTGGTTTCTCTGAAGGTATCCAGGAAGCTGACAAGCGTAAAAATCAAAGGCTTTCATCTGGACTTTTTTCTTTATTTCACACTCTGTTACACTGCTAAGATGTCTTATTGTCCCTCTGTCTTCATGTTTTCTATGGGGCTTTTTTCAGGGTTGGGGTATATATAAAGAAAATGAAAATCTGGCATAACCTACACATCACTAAAGGCTTTAAGAATGCATCCTGCATAATCATGTGAAGGCACACATTTGGAAGATTCTCCCCAGGGTCGACTTTAATTGCTGGTGCCAATTGAGAGCTTTTTAAGTTTCAATTCTGGCCAGATAGACAGAGGGAGGAATGCCTGAGAATTTCTGTTTTTTTTAGTCAAGGGAATTCAAGGGACACAACCACCAGGGCAAATTGCATTCCCCTTCCTGCTGCCAACTTGGCAAAACCCAAGACCCAGACTTAGAACAAACCAGGGAGTGTACATGCTTCATTTCACGAAGAACTAGGACGACCGCAGGCTCTATGGTCCTGTGTGTGTCTGTCTGTGCGTATTTCTTTCTGACAACCTGTTAGGGTTTTATGTGTCTCTTATGCAGAGAACATTTGTTTAAGGCTTAATTCTTGTTGGCAAGGACCTGCTTGCTCAAAGGGCAAGTCGTTTTTTCCCTCTCTTTAGCCTGGGAGTCTCTAGTGTGCAATCAGGATAAATGCAACCAGGCAAGCTCAAGAGTGTTTAGGCAATTATCCTTTAGCTGTTGCGTAACGATAAACAAACAAAGCTGGGTTTTAAAAAGGAAATACACAAAACAAGAAGTTGAAGGAAAGCTACTTGCTTGTTGTTGTAATAATTAACAAAAGTACAACAAAGTTCACATTAAAAACAGGCACCAACCTGCTAACCTTTAGCTGCAAAATTGAGCAACAAATGAGTTTAGTTCGACTGCTTCACTTCATTTTCCTCACCACTCTGATTTGCCTTATGGTTGATATGATTGATTGATATCTCTGTAAAGTGTTTCTCTAGCTTGATAGAGAGTGAAGGTGATGTCCTTGTTCGGTAGCAGTTTAATGTGTGTGCGTGCGTGTGTGTCTGTGAGTTTGGACAGGATATTTACCATGGGGTCTGGTTCCTGGGAGGAGCTACGTGGCATTGCAGCTGAATGAACGCTGCCTCTCCTGCTGGTCTTGAGCCCTTCAGCCAGCCAGCACCCTGAGGTGCCCAGCAGAGCGGCCACAGCCCAAACACACAGGCTACCCATGAGTGCTTACCTGTATGGAAAAGTAAAAAAACAAGGCACACAACATTTAGACTCAATTATGTGGTAAATAATGCATATTGATAAAACAAGTGATAAGTCATTTTCGTATTCATAACACATCATCGTATTTATGTTCTGTTATCAATATAAAATGTGTATTGGTTAATTTAGTGAATAAACCATTTTAAAGATGTGTCTGATGTGTGATTTTATTCTTTCCTTAAACTATTTGTATGCAAATTAATGAATGGCTGGTGATATAATTGTGGGTTTAACACCTTGTTTTCAAGCAGGCAAAATGAGCATCATTGTGTTTTCATGGGAGATAATAAAGACTGATGATTCAAACTCACTTTCAAATCAACTCGTGCTTAGTAGTGTATGTGATCTTATCTTTTTTACGTGCAATAAAATAGATACAAATGTTGCATGAATGTCTGCAGGGTAAGTGAGACAGAGGAGAACACATTTCAGAGTTAAAAGCATCTTGAATCAGTCGATATTTCCAGGCAAGACATGACGAAAGAAAATATGTTATGCCATAAAGAAGGCAAATATTTACAGGCTAACATATAATACCAATAACTCAATAAAGCTGTGTGAATAGCATCTGTTACTGATATTGTGTCATTTTCCAAGTCTTCTTTGAAATCCTGTGATATACAGCTCTGTATTTTCTACACCCGATATTATGTTCATTCACACACGGTTACACACAATGGATAACATATTGTACACTCACACAAACTGAGCACACACAAGCACATGAACACACAGCATAATACGGCTATGTGAGCATCAAAGCCCACACTGATATAGATAATTATCTGTATTACAAAGGACACAGAACATCTTTTGATGTCAACAAAGAACCCTCTGAAGTCACAATTCGGGGAGTGGGTATGAATTCAGCAGATCAATTTCCCTGCTGTGACACAGAGACCCTGACACACACACACACACACACACACAAATCACATTCAAATCTTCAGAAATAATACATACATCCCAACTGTTCTGATAAAAGCACCTGAATAAAAGCTGCAGTGAAACATCATTATTATTATCAGGTAATGCCTTGTTCCTATGGTGAATAATATTGAAAATGGCAAGCATGCATTTAACGATTAAATGTTAAAATGTGTTTAATGGTGCTACTCTGGAGGACCCATAAGCTCAAGGGTGGATAAACCAGACAGCTATTCATTTCAGCTGGAACAAGATCACTAAATCATGTTCACAAGGGAATAAAGTAATAATAATATGACAACCTCTCATTAAAGCGCAACCCAATACACCAAGACCGCAAACTACAGACACATTAAATAGTAGAGTAGCAACAAATAATGAAATCATATCTGCTTTCCCAAACATTATTTATTGCAGGGATATTGTCCTTGATTTATGCTGCATTGCACTGGTTTGTTTTGTATCCTGTCCACCCTCTGTAATGTCTTACATCTTTCAGAAAAGACTTGATAAGAAATATTTATTGGACTCCATCAAAGCACAAACTTCTGTTGTGTCTAATCAGCTGATGCAGGTCATTATGTGACACAGCAGTTTGTTATGTGTGTTTTTGCACTTTCAAGTAATGTGTTTATTGTTTTTATCGTGGTCTTAAACTTTATTATGGGATTTTATTTTGTATTTTACAGCATCGCCAGTCTGAAAACAAATTTCCCTTAGGGGGCCATAAAGTGTGCAATTGAACTGAAAGAAGGGCACACAAACATGTGATGCAGCTCAAACAGCGCAGGAGCTTGTGGTGTTATGTGTCCGCAGCATCTCCTCACTAGAATATTTAATATTGGAAGGGTGTTGTGATTCACCTTGACCTGTAGGTGCCCTCGTCCTGCTGGCTGCAAATGTGTGTTCTGCTTTACATATCCATTTTTGCATTTTGCAATAAAGAAATAAACACATATCTTGAAATATATCATCATATTAATACACTGATAAGATGAGACATTTTGCAGCTGTAATGAACAGTATTTGTCAAAGAGAAAATCATCTTTTTCTTTACAATATCACAATGTAAAAAACCTAGAAATAGAATGAGAGTAGAAGATAGATTCCCATTCATATCATATCATCATGTATCATCATTTATCATATAATCAATGCGCTCCACTATTTTCAACGGCTAGTCACCTCCTTTTTCATAAGAGCTTTTTTATTGAAAACCTCTGGCTGCATCTGTAAATGAGCTTAATAAAAGCATAGACTTGAGCAAGAAAACCGACATTGATCCAAAATACGAGAAAGTGGATGCAGGAAGAATTGCCCCTGTCGTTATGAGTATCATTATGTGTGATCATTTGTATATTGATTATTAGAGTATGTATGACCCAACTCCTACAGTCCATTTACTCTCATTTTTACAACTTTCTCTCGCAGTCCTTTTGAGAAAACTGAAGCTGGCCTAGATGTCAAACTTTGAGATGTGTTTGAAAGCTCAGCGAAAAAAAGTGGACTCGTAAGTAAAAGTTTTCTTGTTACACATAGAGCTACCAATTGGACAAGAATGAATTAAGTATGTTTCTGAAATTATAATCTGCAAAATAATGAGAAGTGTCAAATAAGTGCTGTAAAACAATATTTGTCTAAAACATCATGGATGTTAAAATTCCCCTAGAAATCACCATTATTATAATATGTAGCTATATCTTCTTTGCACCACTGCTAACCATAGGAAATAAAGTCCTGTGAGTGTTTACATCATTCTGCAAGGAACCACCAACATCCTTCAGCTAGCTAGCCGGAGGCTAAGGACCCTCACAGATGAAAGATCTCTCTTGTTAAATTAAACACGAAATGAGAATCTGCCAGTCACTGTCTTAATGTGTGGCCTGGCCTCCTGGCGTTGGCCTACACACAGCTCAACACACTTTGTTCATTTGTACACACACAAACACACACACAGAGCCTTGGGGGTGTGGATTGAATGGTCCATTTAGAAATTCATCAGGAGGGAGAAAGTCTAAGAGGAAGCCATTATTCGACCGGCATATTAAAAAGCTTAAAGAGACAGAGTGTCCCTTTTGGCAGCTTTAGTCAGATCAGACTGTTTCAATGTACTTGTATTACAAAAAGACTCAATATGCCAAAACATTAAATATAATCTATTCACATCCAAACTACTTTCAAGCCCTATCTCCACTTTTTCATGTTTCCTTCTTTCAGAACTTCATATTTAAAGGGCACAAAAGTACTGTCGGGCACTGAAGAGTCCTGCTGAGCGACCTGCAGCTGCTTCCAGTCGCTTACTTTCTGGAAGTTAATTTCATTTTCTTTATATGTCTTGCAGGTAAAGTGGAGAGTGCTTTTTAAATTATAACCTGAGCCACTTAATGAAATGAATCACAAGCTTGTAATAAAAGGTTTAAACATGAAAAAGTGAGAAGAAACAAAAGGGAAGAATACAAAACAGGAGGAAATGAACATGACGTACAGAATTGTGAGGGACTGACTTGATATACATACTGTATAATGTGAGTATTGCATTAAGACAGACTTGTTGTGTCCAATAGGGAATAACAAATGATAACTTGTAGACCGTGCCACATTTTGACTTTCATTGGTTGTTTGGGTTGCAGGAATTGAAGATCTATTCTATATCTTTAAACGTAATGGAACTAAAGGAAGAAGTCAGCTTAATGCCTGAAATGTGCAGCGCTCGGGTTCAGTAAAGCACCATCTGCTCACCATCACGTTTTAAGATGAGGCATTTGGAGCAAGGTGACATCTCACTAGCCTTTCAGACGCATCAGCGACATTCAGACTTGTTTCTAGGTCGAGGTAAAATATTCATTTTCACCCACTGTTTAATTTTGAATGACTGCAAAGGTTTCTTAATGAATGCATGGATAGGCACATGGAGACACACACACAAACACAGAAACATTGACATGATCATTCCTCCTAGCAGGAGTCTGGTCTCATGAAGATATGGGATTGTTAAAGATGTGAAATGTCTCAGACCTGCATGAGAGCATTTGAATGATTAACGTTTGAAATAGGTTTCATCATGATTGAGTTTCCTTTCAATATTTCTAAATGAATCGTAATGTGTGAGAGACTATTCAAGAGGCTAACATGAGTATATGAGTTGACTTTAGATTTAAGTTGGTATTCTGCATTTAAACAAGAGAAATACCTTATCTATGTTTTTCTAACAGCTCAAAGTTACTTTGTGTTAAGTTATTGACCAAACAATACACCAGTAAAAAAAAAAATGTTATCTCACTATTCTTTTAAATTGTTTAATGATTACATTGTACTATGCTTACACAATAATAAACGAATGTATAGCCTCACCCCACTTTTCTTTGCCACAGTCAAAACTTCTTCATCTGGAAGTTTTCTCACTTCAAAAATTGAAGTACTTGGCTAAAAAACAACTTATTTTAATTTGACTATACAGTAAACACGAGATATGGTGAACTAAAATGTGAGGCTCCTATCAAAGTATGATTAGACACATCTAGACTAAACTGGAACAAATGTTGACCCTGAGCCTGGGGGAGTAAGTCTGGCTTTTGGTAGAAAATGATAAGTGCGTGATTATGTGACAATTTCTATAACTTCTAACACAGACAACACAAAAGCCCTTTCTTCCTCTGTGTGAAAAAGTACAAAACATCTGGCTCTGCTCTAAAGAGAACAAACAAACTGTCAGGCTGTGGATAATGGTGATATGTGTTGGCAATATCATGTATGGATCCTAGAGAACATAATGTTCCCCTGCAGTGATGTTGACTAATGTTTCCGGTTTCTTTTGTGGAAAGAATTCTTTACTATTTTCAATGTTTGACTAGGGTGTATTTTCAACTTATCTTTTCATAAACTGATCCAAGCAATCAGCACACTTATTTCTTTTGTTAACAGTGTTAGTTAAAACATACATGATATGATAATCTTATGCTAAAGAAAAATGTTAACAAACAGAAAACAAAATGTTTAAATATTTTGTTATTAGTATTTTCCTGTCACAATGATGATGGCATA